CTTTTTCTCCAGAGGTTCAAGGAGCTATAATTTATCCTGCAATCTTCACAGCAGCTCCAAAGTTATAGGCAGAGAGAGGAGGAGAGCAACTTGATTTTGCAAATTGATAAGAGTCAGCTGGGCACCAGTGGCTCACATCTATAACCCTAGCTACTCAGGAGGCTGAGATCACAGTTCAAAGGATCACAGTTCAAAACTAACCTGGGCAAAAAAGTCAGTGATTTTATTATCTCCAATTAACTACCAAAAAGAATTAAAAAAAAAAAAAAAGAACGAGAAGTGGAACTGTGGAACTGTAGCACTAGTCTTGAGCCAAAAAAAAAAAGCGCAGGGCCTAGGCCAAGGCCGAGTTCAAGCCCCAGGACCAGGACAGAAAGAAAGAAGGAAGGAAGGAAGGAAGGAAAGAAAGAAAGAAAGAAAGGAAGGAAGGAAGGAAGGAAGGAAGGAAGGAAGGAAGAAAGAAAGGAAGGAAGGAAAAAAGAAAGAAAGAAAAAAGGTAAAAAGAAAAGAAAACTGGTAAGAGCCATAGAAGACTGCTCCTTGGAGGAGATCCTGCCCTCTGGATCTCCCCAAGATTGTCAAAAAAAAATTGTGTCACAAACAGAAACACAAAATCACACACATTATCCCATTCCTTGTAAGCTAACATGAATCCATACATCATCTCATTCAGACCTAGGACAATGTCAGGTATTCAGGTTAGTGCGTACTTTTCAGGCCCACTTATTATCACATGTGCCACTTAATAACATAAAAACAAAAGGGTATCCTTGGCAGCTCTGCCTCCGGCACTCACATCAACCTTCACAGACACACATGGATACATATAGCAGACGTTCACAATTTCAGCCTGGTGTATCTCATTCAATTTAAATACCATAGCTTCTATGTCCTTTCTATAGTTCATTCAATTCCAGGCTCTGTACTGAGGTTCCCAAACCTCAGACCTTTAAAGCATTACCAGCTTACAAAAAAAAAATCATCTTCCTTTCCTCCATCTCCATTTCCTACCTCCCTCTCCTGCATGGAGGTATATAGACACGCAGCACAAAATCAAGAGACAGAACTGAGCTTTATGACAACTGTACATATATTCATTCATCCATTTGTTTGCACCTTTTTTAACAGTATTTATTGAGTGCCTATTATGTTCAAAGTACCACCTTAGACTCGAGTGAAACAAAGATTAGCGGGGGGGGGGGGGAGAAATCCCTCGCTAGGTCCTCTGCTCTAATCTCAGCTGTTATGACCTTAAACCGTAGTGTAGGACATTGACCCACAGCCTTTGGAATTTGTGGGGGAGGGGAGGAAGAATATGTCTACACTGTCCCACAACAAAGAAGGGGAAAAATATATTCTATCTGTAAAATTCCAAGGTAAACTGGAGCAGCGAGCAACATTTGCACTGTCCTGGGAGAGAGAATTCATATGCATTTCCTGTGTATGTAAACTTCCCTCCCACCCAAAGGGGGAAAAAAAAAAAACAGGCTTAAATCCACCTTGGTAGAATTGTCTCTCTTAGGTAGATGTAGGTAGCAAAATGAGGACCTCACTGGACAGGATTAAGCCAGATTCTAAGCCCCATGGACCAAGTCTATCATGTCTACCACTGCAGCCCCATCTCTCAGCACATAATCTGGTCCAAGGGCCATTCATCCTGTTGTTGGATGAATGAAGACGCTGAGGCGGGAAATCTACCCTGCTCAGACTTTTTCTTGATTCACAAAAAGAAACACAGAAAACTCTTACTTCTACACTTTCTCCCTACAGTCCCAAAAGGTCTCAGAGAATGGCAGCTACATCATATCCTTCATCTTAGGTTTAGCAAGGCTGAAAATCATCTTGACCAACCCATCCTTTCCAGACTGTCTCTCCCAGCCTCTTACACACTTCAATTTATAGGGTTGCTTGATTAGAAAAAAAATTCCTAAAATAATAAATAAAAATCTCACAGTTGGAGACTTTTTCTACTTCATATGCTCCAGATTTTCAATTTATCCTTTACAGGGTTTTAGGGTGGGAAACAAAATCCCTACATGTTTTTCCCAACAAGAGACAGTCTTGCACCATTATATTGTTGGGGGTCTTTTATCCAGAAGCAAAAACACTCTAAAGAAGCCAGCTGCCAGTGGCTTACACCTGTAATCCTAGCTACTTAGGAAGCTGAAATTGAGAGGATCATGGTTTGAAGCCAGCCATGTTAAACCAGAGTTGATGTACATCTGTCATTCTAGGGTGATTGAGATCAAGAGGATCACAGTTTCAACAGAAAAGTCCACAAGACTCCATCTCATTGGAGGAAGTTGAGTGTGGTTGTATGTGCCTGTCATCTTAGCTACAATGGGAAACCTAAAACAGGAGGATCATGGTTCAGGAACATGCCTGGGCAGAAAGTGAGACCCTATCTCAAAAATAACAAGTGCAATAAATTAAAAGGGCTAGAGGCATGGCTAGGTGGTAAAACACCTGCCTAGAAAGCATAAGAACCTGAATTTAAGCCCTCATACCAAAAAACACACAAACAAAAAAAACTCCTAAAATGTGTAGATGCCCTAGATTAGAAATCAAGAGGGTAAGAGGAGTAGGATATATTGAGTAAGGGAAATCAAGAAAGATATATAGAGATAGATATATAGACATTCCATCTGTCTTCATTTCCATTCAGTACTCAGTCCAGAAATGATTGTTTGAAGCTTATTTCCAGACTAACAACCCCTTTCTACTCTAAGTCATGAAGAAAGAACTGTATTTCCATTGAAAGGAATTCTTCCTTATTCACCTCTTTAGAAACAATCTGACCCCAGAGAACTGGGAACTTCTGCTCAGCAAAAGCCTTGCAAAGAAAGACTTTACTTGCCTTTCAACTGATGGTCAAAAGCTCCCTAATATTCAAAAAGGCGATTTCCAAAAAGCCATTAACTTGGGATCTACCTTGAGATCCAGATCTTCCTCTGCTTTCAGAAAATGAGATTGAGAGACTACTTCTCGTGAGGAATAATCTTCTGGGTAAATCATTATATCTAAATTGCTACACTCCTAATAACCAGATTACTAGAGTGACGGCCAGAGTAATCAAATCAATAGTTTATAATCCTACCACAAAAGGCCACTCCTGCTAAGGCACCCATGAAGGCAGAGCTGCGTCTACTCCCTTCTCTCCCCAGAGTTCAATTCCTCCTTCTAGGATCCTCTGTTCTTACCACTGAGCACTTATCACACTCAAGGGAGAAACTGCAATTCACAATTCACCTTTCAGGAAAGACTTTGGGTTAGGAAGATGTGAGAGATGATGAAATGGTAAGAATCCCACTCTTCTACAGAGCCCTCCCCGCCCCCGACCTGGACCAGAGGCCAGGTGAGTGTGGCCAAACCACTAGTACCGTGGGAAGTCATCCTGAGACACCGCAAATTCTTCCATGTAGAGACCCTGAGGCTTATTTATCCCTGGCTTTTCATCCACTTCCTTACCTGTTTACCCTCCTTCCTCAGCTTAGTTACCATTAGCAGAGCATCATTTTCTATCAAGATTCACCCAACAAAAATCAATTCCCTCCGCTTTTCCATTTCTTCATCCCAGAACTCATTCCAAGGCTGCGCTTCATAGAGCCCAGCAAATTGCATTGGCCCAGAGGCAGCAATGGAGGGGGACGGAAGGTGAGCGTATTTGGATTCTAAGCCTTGTTGACCACTATGCTTCATTCTCCCTAAGGCCTCCCTAAGCAGGTAAATCAGACCCACCTGCCTGATATAAAGGCACACCCCTACCACCACAGATAAAGTACTTATAGAACACCATTACTGTCTGTATCTGCCCATTCCTTACCTCCTTCCTGTCTCCTTATCAGAACACAGAAAATGGAAGGCTTCTGTGCTTATTACTGGGAGTGGGAGTGGAATACTGGGAAGAAATGGAGTTTGGAGGCTGTGATTACTGTTTCCTCAGTAAGCATCCATGGTCTCCTATCTATTATAGTCTCTTTCCTGGGGCTTCGGGGAGTCATCTTAGGGAGAGGGGTAATTTCCCTTCTTCTCTCATTAAGAATCAACAGACTGTGGAGACTGCCCAATGGCAGCTGACTGGAAGGTAAACAGGGTACATGGCTTGTCTTTGACCAAATCCTGTCCTCTTCTGAGGGACAGGAAGAAAAGTTCTTTTCCTCTCTGGGACTGGTGCATGGGATACATGAGTCCCTCTTTTCCCCCCCTTTATTACTCCCCATATAAGCTCTGCTGCTCCTGCAGGGATGTCTCAATGTGCTCGGACATCCTAAATATAAACAAAAGGGCTTTGATTAAGCCTTTGCTAAATTTGCTCCTGTCAATCAATCTAGCTTCAATACCACCCCCTCTTCCAGCTCCCAGTCGGGGCATTCACCCCCTCCTCCAGATTCCAGGTGTGTCATTAGTATGCAGAATGAGCTTCTAGGCTCCAAAGACAGAGGAGGTGCACCCTCACCCCTACTCCCTGCAGGCTGGAGGAAGCCAAAACTAGGGATCCCAATTGAGATGCCTATGACCCACAGGTTGGCACAAGATTCCTATGACCCCCGCCCCCCCGGGCACGCAACGCTGTTCAATCACTGCACACCTCCATGACCGGGGGACACACGTGTACATGCATGTGTTGTGTCTCACATCTGCACCACCCTGCACGGGGTCCGTGTGAGTCAGCCTGGCACCTCCTGAATGCTGCCCAGCCTGCAGCCCTGCCACACCGCTACGTGTGTCACCCGAAGGTCCACAGGCACAGGCACAAGCTCAGCTTTGCAACTCCTAAGCCGGCTCTACCCGACACCCGCTGGCGATGCACATGCCTCACGCATGTGGCCTGGACACGCGTGTCAGGGCTGTATTACCTTGCACCTGCTAACATGTGTACCCTTAAGAATCCACCAGCTGGGCTCTAGCCGCCCTCCCCATACACACACACACACACACACACAGAGTCCAGCCCCCTCCCCCCTTTGCCTTTTATCCCCCCCCCCGGCCCAGCGACTCACAGAGACCGCAGTTTAATCCACATCTTCTTGCTGGGGGCTGACTTCAGCTCCAGGGGTGACGGGCAATCGGACTCCAGCATCTCTGGAGGACTGCGGGGGGACAGCTCCATGCTCAGCCACCGTCTAGGGGAAGAAGGGAGGGAGTAGACCACCCCTCAGCTCAGCCCCATTCCGTCCCTTCACCCGGAGACCCTGGTGGTCCCCCCTACCCACCCATCCAAGCCAGGCCCTTCCCACCTGCGGCTGGCGTGGACCAGCCAGGCCGGTATCTCTAGGCTTGGCCCAAGCTGGCAGCGCGGCCGTTGCTGCGGTTCCTTCTGTCTCACACCGCCTGGCTGAGCTCCGGGTTCCCTCCGGGTCCCAGCTCTCCGCGGGCGCCGCTGTCACCGCTG